TCTCTCTCTCTCTCTCTCTCTCTCTCTCTCTCTCTCTCTCTCTCTTTCCTTCCCTTCTTTTTCTTTCTATCCTTCCTTCCTTCTCTTTCTTTCTGTCATGCTCTGTCCAAAAGTCTTATCTATGAACATTTAATTCAAAGGAACTAGTTATGGTATGTTATTTCTAATTTTGTAGTTATTTACATCTTATATGTTAACAGTGGATGTTGAATCTGTTAGTATTTCTAGAATATAAATGACCATATTATGGAAAGTGACTCGATAAGTTCTGTGCTTATATTTGTCCCTCCATATAAGTGCACCATAGATGTAATAGGAAAAACATAATTAAGCATTTTTCAATCAGTTTTTTTTAAATGTATCTTGTATAGGGTCTCAGCTTGCAGCTGGAACTCATAGTGATCCTCCTGTTTTCAGCCTCCCCAGCCCATGGATTACAGACGTGTGCCAACATACCCAGTCACAGCAGCTAGCTTGGCAAGCTGGGGGGCTGGGGGTATCAGCATGTCATGTGGTGCTGGGGACCAAATCTTGGTCCCTGCACTTGCCTAAGAAGGAAATTAGACCACTTGCCAGGCAGGCATTGGGCTGCTTAGAGTTTCTTTTTGTAGGTAACATTTTTAAGTTGCTTACCTAAATTAGGAATTTTCTTCCCTTGTAGTTTACTGTGACTATGTTACCCCTGACATCTTTCTCTTAGCTGTGAATTGCATGTATAATTCCTGGATATGTCTTTTATTAGTTTTAAGAGACAGGAATATATCTCAGAGTCTTAAGTTCCTGCCTGGCAGGCACAAGGTCCTGAAGTCAATCCCCAGTACAAAAAAGAAAAAGAAAAAAGAGAGAAAGAAAGAAAGAAAGAAAGAAAGAAAGAAAGAAAGAAAGAAAGAAAGAAAGAAAGAAAGAAAGAAAGGAGATGTGATGTGTGTAGATTGATCTTGAAGGGCATTTGAGTGTAATAATAATGTTTGGAAAAAAACCAAAGTATTTTTCTAGCCAAAAATTATTCCTACTTTATATTTCCCTATTAAATTCTGTTTATGTATATAATTTTGTATTACATGAGATTTTACATAATCCTTATTACTTTTTTCATTATATTATACTCCAATTTCTTTTTTAAAAATGTATTTAGTACAGGGTCTACAGGGTCTCACTACACAGATCGGACTTGTAGTGATCCTCCTGTTTTCAGCCTCCTAAGTGCTGGGATTGCAGGCTCGCTCCACCATGGCCAGTCTCAATTGTAGTCTCAGTGTGCCCCGGGTATGCGGCTGGCATGGCATCCCTGGGATTGGACCCAATCCCTGGGCCTGCCTAAGCAGGCACTTTAGTCCACTGAGCTATCTGGCCAGCCCTCGAAATTTCTTATTTATTTTATCATTATAGGTTTCAGTTTTACACTTCACCTAAATATGTTGAATTCTAACTATATTACTCAGTGTTTAAAAACTAGAATTTAAATTTGTTTTTGCATGTTGAATTTCCCATTTTATTGTTTATATATTAAAAATTCTTTCAATTTATTTGTATTTATTAATGTCTTTTATTTTAATATATAGTGTCCAAAAATTCCAATATGTTCTGTAAGTTTTAGTTATATTTTATTATCTGCTAACTTCCTTTATATACAGCTACATGTTTGTATGCTCAACATATTTTATTCAAGTAATAGATGATATAGAACAGTTCTGGATTTCACTGTACTGAATTTTGGAGTTGGTGATAGGTACTTGGAACATGCTTATCTTTCCCAAATGTCTGCATCTTCAGACTTTTAGTTCGTTTGCACCTTTCTTTTTTCATCAATATTTCACTGTTTTTAGGGCCAGCCAAAAAGCTCAGCAGATTAAAGTGCCTGCAAACAGACACAGGGGCTGGAGGTTCAATCCCTGGGCCTGCCATGCTGAGATATCAATTAAGACTGGGTATGGTGGTACATGCCTATAATCCCAGCATTTAGGAGGCTGTAAACAGGAGAATCACTATGAGTCTGATCTAGTAGTGAGACCTTGAATACCCTGTAGACCCTTCGCTTAAAAAAAAAAATCACTGCATGTGATGGTGTCAGTTGGAGATTCCCAAATGAAAAAATAAAAATTACTTTTAGTATTTAAGCAATTTCTACCTGTGGAAAATCAGCATGCACGAGCACATACATTTGATAATGACCAAGTTTATGGATGAAAATTTAAAAATCCCAAATTAATTTCTTAATGAGCAAATATTTCCTGCATTTGAAAAGAATTGTGATAGTTTTGCAATGTAGAACCCATCCTTATTTTCTAAGTAGGTACACTAATTTAGTATACTAAGATGCCACGCCACCCCTTATTGGCAAGTGAGTCATTATTATTTCTGTTTTCTTCATCATGATAATATCTGTTGTGGTTTAAACCCAGATTTGAAGATAGAACCAGGGCTTTTAAAAAGTGTGTGGATATGATAGGGCTACACTCCCGGGTATATTCACGTACTTAAGGTCTCAGCAGCTGAGTGAGGCATTGGGAGGTGCTTTGATCAGGGGCCGGTCACTCGGTGCTCCTGCTTTCTGCGTGCTTCGGTTGTCATGATGGATGGCTTAAGCTCTTTCCAGACCTTCTCATCAGGCCACTTCTGCTGTGGAAGCAACTGACTATGACTCAAATTAGAGTAAGCCTCTTGCCTTTGTCATTTGGATGTCAAGAATTTTGTTAAAGTGAACAGAAATGCCTATGACAATACCTAAAATCAACCTCTAGGAAGAAGACTTTTGTTTGAAAGTGAGAGGCATTTTGGGGGGCAAATGGCTCATGGACATAATCCAGTCACTAGCACAATATGTAGAGATGCAAAAAATTTTAAATGACCTTATGTACACAGATATTATTGCAGAAAAAGCCATTTTAAAAATGTATAGGAAATGCACAGCCAATAGAAATGGTAGGTACAACTAAAAGACATACATGGGAATGAATTTGAATAGTATTTGAGGAAGAATTTATTCTTTTATATTTTTTTAGTTTAGATCTCTAATAGACTAGCAGTTTGAACTACTAGTTTAAAATAAAATATCTTCCTACCTCACTTCCTCCTTCACCTCTCCTCCTACTTTTCTTTCTTACACTGTCTTTTCCCCTTGTCACCAAGAAAATTTCAAATACATATTTATGACTAAGCACATAGAATGTACTTCTGGACTTGGAAGTTTATGCCCCCAAGCCCAGCACCCAGCAAGTTGAGCAGGATTATTCCATTGGGTTTGAGGCCTTCCTGGACTAGATAAGTGAGTTCAAAGCTACATAGCCAGACCTTGTATCAAAAATAAAATAAATGAATGAATAAGTAAAAGCAAACAAAAAAGAAATATACCAGTAGAATGTGTAATAAAACAGAAGTACAGCAAAACATTTTATGATGAAAGTTTATTTAATATCTTTTAAAAATGCCAAAATTGAGAGTTAAATTTGGTTATATTTTAAATAACATTATAAAAATAATACAGAAACTTCTCTGCAGACTATCCTATTATTCATCTCACACTGTTGAATCAAGTGATATGTTGCATTTTTTATGGTTTTAAATAATCCAGGATGTCATCAGTGTTTCAAGACATTTTAAAATGCATCAGTTAAAAATTTGCAGATATTTCAGTCAAACAGTAGATTACACCAATTAGGCTAAGAAACCATGAGAATTCCTCAGTAGAAGCCGTAGGTCCAGTATCTCCTAGAGCACAGGGGGCGGCAACAGCCATAGCCATAGCCACCATAGCCACCATAGCCACCATAGCCATAGCCACAGCCTAGGCCACCCCAGCCATAGCCCAGGCCACCATAGTAGTTGCCATAGGAGCACATGATATTGGGATTGGACAGTTTTATTGAGGATCAGGAAGTCTGTATTTGAGTCTGGTTGGCAGTGTTTGTCAGTGTCTTTTATACTTGATAGTGGAGGGTGGGGAAAACCACAGGCAGCACAGGATCACATTATCCCAGTAACTTACTTCAGACACCATCACTAATGTGTATTAGGAAAGCAGGGCTCCATAATGGAGATAATTTTGCTACTATGTCAGGGATCTGTAATTGGTTTTGTACCTTTAAAATTCAGTTATTATTCTATTTTCACAACATTGTTTTATTCTGTAAATAGTGAATTTTATGCATATGACATAATTACATGGCTTGAGGCAAATCATGAAAACAGTATACCATTTTATTTTTCTTTACTTTCCATCCCTCTACAGGGAAAATTGATCTTTCTCTCTTTATTTACCTTTCTTTCTTTCTTCTTTCTTTCTTTCTTTCTTTCTTTCTTTCTTTCTTTCTTTCTTTCTTTCTTTCTTT